GGAGAGTGGAAGTCGTTGTTGTTCCAATTGCTAGGGCAGGGGTTTGGAGGAGAGGTTGGTAGGAGTGATAGCGTATGGCTTGTTCCTGTTGAGCTGGGGAATGTGTACTGTATGTTATGTAGCTGTTAGCTTCTGGATGGTTATGGACGGACGGAGTATGCTGGCCATACGATATGAGGGTTGTTGGACAGGGTTGATAGCTGTCTATATAAAGCTCTCCTTGAGCCCATGATAGGGCGAAAAACTCCCATGAGAGAAGCCATTGGTCCTCTCTGGCTATATCGTTTTGGTAGATCTTTGGTTGCTGCTAAAACTTGCTGATAGCTTCGAAGCGGCTCTTTTGGGGGATCCTTGTTGCAAGGTCCATCCACGTGACCATCCTTAAATCAGAGCTGTTTTGGTGTCAACGTCGACTTCAACACAAAGGGCAAAAACGCAGCCTGGGAGCTGGAATGTGAATTGAATGCAGGAGCTGATGATATATCAAACGAGAGAAGAGAGAGATGCGCGATGGGAGATTTTGAACTAACATTCTGGATACCAAATTGCTATTTCTACAAGATATCGCTTGCCCATTGGGCAGTAGCGGCCAACTGAGGAGTGCCGATTAGCAGCTTATTGATATAAGGCTATGATATGATACCCATGAGCATTCGCTATCAATAAACATATTCTACATTTACACGGGCCATCTCATTTTTGGATATCATAATTACTGATTGTTGCTGTTGACGTTATTCGACCATGGCGACGCCTGCCAAAAACAACACGGCGAACGCCAATCCAGGCGCGACCCCAACCCAAATCACCTCTTCACCTTACCCAGCTCCCGCGGCTGTACCTATGGGACGCCCGCTATCACATATCTCGCCATCAGCCACACGAACTCCCTCGCATCACCCGCAACAGCAACAACACCTGCATCAGCAACAGTCTCACCTAGGGCAGCAACAGCAACAGCTGCCTGCTTCCTCGCATTCACAGGCTCCAGCACACCAGTACACGCCTATGCTCGAGGATGCCGCAGGATTCAGCTCTCCTTCTGCATTGCTAGCGTTAGGTCTATCTGGCATAACGCCTTCCCCTGGCCCTGGAGGAGTGGCGATGACGGGCGGACTGAGTATGGGCATAGGTATGGGCCTAAGCATGTCTGACGCGATGGGGATGGGGATGGGAATGTCCCTTGACCTACCAATGCACTCACTACCGGGTGCCACAGCGAAGGATACAGAAGCTGAAAAACGACGAAACATGTCTGAAGTGCTATCTATGCTACGGTCACGAGTGGCGGGACGAGGTGTGTGTCGAGAAGCCGTTAAACGACTTAGCACGCTAGAAGGATTCGAGTGTATGTGGGAGAAGAACAATCTAAGTATTGCGGGGAACACCGTTGATTTGGAGATTGAGTTTGGCCCGCAAGACGGGGCGGAAGCTGATGTGGTGAAGGATGTGACGCTCCGGTACGCTACGCAGGATATGGCTGAAGGGGAGAAGAGGGAAGCTGCATCAGCGGTGTTGAAGAGTGTGTTGACATTCAGTGCTGATACAGCTGAGGAGCAAATAGCTGCAGGAGAGTGGAAGGCGGTCGATGCATTCCATGCGAACCTGACGCGGCTGGCTAGAATGGATGGGTTGTGCAGGGAGGTTAACTGCTTCGAGGCGGTGGAAGGGGTGCATGAGAGCCTGCAGAAAGTTTGGGACAGCTCGGGCACGGGCACGGGCATGGACGTGGACATGGACATGGGCACGGACGCAGATACACATCCGGCTGGGCGAGAAAGCAGGTTCTGGGAGAGGTTGTGTTGGAGCAGCAGTGTGGGCTGTCCTACCATGCACCGGGGCGAGAACGTTGGTCTAGCGATGCACTATTGGGCCGATCAACGGCGGTTACTGGCTGCACAACATACTTCACTCGAAGAGGTGCTACAGGCTGATCAGCCCCTGAAGGACTCGAAGGGCAGCAGCAGCAGACGACAGGTATACAGTGCTGTGATAGAGTGCGAGGCTGGCTACCCATCACTACGCATATCTAAGGGCTGGGTGGGTGATCCTACGGTGCTACCGATGCAGGACGAGAACAGCAACGAAAACAATAAC